CATGGTCATGTTAGCAGACAGTGAATTCCCCTCTGCCCAGTGGAAATTCCTCCTGCGTGAACATTGCTATAGGAATGCATTACAACCCTGATTCTCAGATATTTTCAGTTTGTTCTAGTAATTCAAGCTCGTCTGAGGAAATTTTGCACTGCTTATTGCTCTTAAAAGTGTATGGGCAGTACACAACTTCACAAGCTTGTTACTAAACTTCTAATACAATAGTTAATTTTCATTCTCTCAGCCTCTGTTTTGTTTTTTTGTTGCTGTGTTCTGCTTGACTGAACCTTCCCATCAGTTAAGACAGGTGTGCAAAAGGATCCAGCCTAGGGCAAAGGAGCACGTCTGGCATTTCCTGGAGCAGTGCAACAGTGCAAGTCTCCCTGTGCACTGCGGGAGATGTTTGCCTATCTCACTCTGACCCTGAGATGACAAGGAGGAGGAACCTGAAGGCAAGTGCAAGCTGAAAAGAGCATGAGCACATTTTTCATTTCTAACATGCCATGGAGTACTTCGATTGCCTGATAGCAACTGTATGGGAAAATTCTGCCTTATCGCTTAGTTTCAAATTTCTTTCTCCTCTGGGGACAGGAGACAGCACTTACATGTGCATGCAAAAAATGTGGGAGTACTGTGAATTCTCTGATGACTAGAAAACTCCAGACTTCAATAACTTAACAAAACAAACCCAAAACTCCTAAACGGCACCACCTCAGCTGTTAAAAGGAAATGCGTTTTTTCTGTCAGTGTATTCACCATTTCAGTCTCATTCCTGTTGTGACTGTTTTTCTTTTTTTTCCCCCTCCCCAGCTGCTGACAACAGTGCAGTTGTGCAACTATTTCCTGCACTTTCCTGCAGATCGCTTCCTTTCTTCCAGCTCTGGAAGGAGGTTGTACCGTGTCACCTCAGCTGACCAGACCTGCACCCACATACTTGTTTCCCATGTGGATGGATGCTGGGCTCCCAGCGAGGGTGTTGCTGCTCCCACACGTGGAACATACTTTTGTGTTGAACATACACATGTTCCCCTGGGGCAGGCATGTCCAACCTGCGGCCCACATGTGACCTGGCCCAGTCCATCCTGCAGTCACCCTGTGCCATCATGGCGATGGCTCTGCCCCACTGAGTGACCCTAGGCTTGCACCCATTGCTCACAGCAACCACACACAAGGTGTGCAGTTGGCACTGCATAGGCTGAAACCTGGACATGGAGGGGTCATGGTGCAGTGCTGACTCAAGTGATGGCACATAATTATGTGTGTTGTGGCACATTGGCTAAATGCTGTCCTGTGAGCAGAAAAATATGTAGCTCTGCTTTCTGTTTTGATACAGGATTCAAGTCTGCCAATCAGTATTTCAGTTTATTTGTGATTTCATTTTCAGTCAACATAAATACATTACTTGCAAATTTTCAAGTGGAATGTACAGAGTTGCAGTCAAATGTTCAACTCAAACAAAAATATGATTGTGTCTCTTTACCAGTCTTCTATAAGCTCTCTTACTGGAAAATATCCCTCACTTCACAACTGCGCCTTATTTGTGTCTTCATTCATTGGCAGTGCAAGCACTTGTGAGCAGTTGTTTTCAAGGATGAAGCACAGGAAGAGCAAAATTTCATCAGAAATCTCTGACAAACACCTTGAGACCTCCCTAAGAATGGTAACTGCTGCTGTCAAACTATACTTATGTGTTAGTTCCTCAAAAACAAGGTCACGCATTCCAGCAGATTTATGATTTTCTTATTTTAATTAAAAATATTGAAGATTAAAATAAGTTTTGTTACCTGTATGCATTAACTATATAATATATTTGACAAGGACTGCTCTGAAATTAATGGCTTCTATTTCATTACGTAGGCCTGCAGTGTCAGAGGCAGAAGTTGGTTGGTATGGCAGCAGAGGTTGAACCTTCCCACCAATACTGTAATGTTGCTGTGTGACAGATGGCAGAAGAGGGGCAGTCTGACAGAATGGCACCTGATATGGAAGTGTGCATGGAGCAAAGGTGTGTCACTGAATTCCTCCATGCAGGGTATACACCAATGCCCACAGGCATTCATTGATGCTTGCTGAACGCTTAGGGATACCAAACAGTGGATGTGAGCACAGTGAGATGGTGCATGGTGTGTTTCAGCAGTGGTGACAGTGGGTCGCCTCCATTGGCACAGATTTTTGTGAGTGCAGTATGCAGGCTCTTGTTCATTGTTGGCAAAAGTGCATAGCTCATGGTGATGACTGTATTGGAAAGCAGTGTTTTGTAGTTGAGAATTTGCTTCACTAGTGTTACTGAGCTCTTTGTATCTGTTGTCGTCTCGATGGAAATAATTAGGAGGCATTAATTTCAGAGCATCCTTTGCATATAGGGCCCTAGACAATTCCTATTCATGCAGTGCACCCTCTGCAAGGTTTGAGGCATGTGTCCAACCTTTATGCTTGCCTGGGCTGTACTGTGTCAAGAGGAATTGTCTAGGGTTGCATATACAAAAATTGCTCTGAAAGGGACAGGGCTGCTGGATGGCACAGGCTTTGCCTACAGTGCTTTAAATATGTTGGTATTTTTCTCCCTTATAAGGTATGTTCACATTTAAAGAGAGCATAACTGTCTCCCTCACAGTCTGGTCTTTTTGGCCACTTGTGGCCTGACTTTTGTTTCCTTTTCTTATTTTTTGTTCTTCAGTGTTTCTCTTCTTCTTCTGTGACCTTGTAACGCCACAGATCATTCATCAAATACCCAGCAGTGGCCAAACAGAGGCCCATTACAGCAAGCATACGCAGCATTTTGCCAGCAACAAATATGCTGTGGTTAGTAAATATTGTGTAATTGGATAGCATTACATAGAAATCAGCTTTGGTGTTTGCCAGATATTCAAGTTGCACTTTAAAAATAAAAACTAGATAATAGCTGCCATCTGAGATAGCTGAGGTGATATTTTTGGCCCATTCTGGTTTTGCTACATTTATGATTCAGAACTTAGGTTAAAGTTCAGAGCTCTATTTGATCGGAGTCCAGAACTCAGATTTTGAATGACTGAGATGTCTGATGACAAGATGTGAATGAAAACTTGAAAGTCACAATTTCACACCATGAACTGTATGTATGTCTGTGGATTTTTCCTTTTGTTCAGTGAGAGAAATGTAAAACTACAGAGAGTGAATGACTGATGGCATAGAGACTGTCACCTTTATTTTGTATCTAGAAATATGCAGAAAGCAACAGTACAGAGTTCTCCTGGATGACCAAGATGCCTTAGCTGTGACTTGGGCTGTTGACAGCAGAAAAGGCAAGCTGCTCCTTCACTTTCTGGGCTTCAGGTAGGAAATAAATAAATTCAGTTGCTAAGAAAGAGAGTCAGATGCCTATGGTTTCCAGATATTTTGCTTTCACATTTCCCAGCCAAGACTGGTCATCATTTTATGGTACCTCACAAACTGTTATTCAAGTTTGTTTCTTGAGAACTAACACAGGAAAATGCTTTTTAACAAATCTTTTCATAGGAAAAGTTAAAGAAAGAAGCAGTAGGACAGAAATTACCTCAGCTTTCTTTACATTTCCCCTCTTTGAAATTAATTTTCTCTCTCAAATCAGAGCAGTATAAAAGTAGAACTAATCGTGTAAGCGTGTAACTTCGTGCTCAAGAATAACATAAAATTCTGAGAGACACAAGCACAGGGATGTGGTACCTAAATACTCGTGTTCTGCTCTCACCTATCGAGGCAGCAACACAGAACAGCCCCTTAAAACTGCCAGCTTTTAATGTGTGAACTCTTTCTCCTCGTGTTTTTCCCTCTTGCATCCCCTGCCTCTGTCTTCTTCCTGCTTCCCCCACCCCCAATGTTTCTACATGTGTTCCAAGTTCTGTTCCTTTCTGGTTTATTTGTGCTGCACACCAGTCACAGTCAACCCTGGAAATAAGTACTTTTGCAAAGACAAGAGTGGGAATGCAGTCACGTTCTGTGTTATTGTTGGCAAGATACTCTGGGAGCAATGGCTGTTATTTGGCAGCTAGCAACAAGGAGGCTGCTTTAGCGAGGTGGCAGCTTAAAGCCAAGAGGGGGCTGTTCCTCGGAAGGCCGTGATCCGTTTTAAGCTATGCATTTGCGGTGGGTGTGAGCGCGGTGGGCAGCGCTGGGTGCGGGTGAGGAAACCAAGCGCAGCCTCTCCCGGAGTCGCGCTGCTCCGGCGGCCGGCCGCCAGGTGGCGCTGTAACGCCTCGTAACCGCGGGTCGGGCCGCCCCTGCCCTCTGCCCGCCCGGGCCTCTGGAAATTGGAAAATCCCCCCAAAAAATCACAGCGTCACGTTCTACCGCGAAACCAAGGGGCTCAACTCGAGTTCCTTTTGCTGGGACGGCTAGTGAAGAGCTGTCATCTGTGCTCTTGTTGCAGCGAGAAGCGGCTTTAGCTCAAGAACCAGGCAGCCAGTAGCATCTTCCTATGGGATGAGTGGTTAAGCAGCGAAGATAAACAGGAACAAAAAGGATTATGAACTCGTATATGAATACCGTGGTTTTATTCCAATAGTTATTGAATACCTTGCCTGGGAAATGGGTGTTTGTATGGCTCTCATGGACGACTCTAAGCCTCCTCTTCCCAATACCACAGAGGGTCTATGGGTCATTTTGTGGCACCAAGTATTTAATTATGTGCTCTGCCAAGTGAAGGCGAGGTCTCCAATCGAATTTTAACCTCCCTGGACAACTATTTTAGATGCTTTGGTAGAACACAAATGCATATTTTCTGCATGCCAGATTCCAGCCCCTTAACTATCAAAGAGTAGATCTTCAACAAGTTCCACTGAAGGCTTTGAACAGGCAGGCGGACGGGAAGGCTGTGGAACTCCACAGCTTTTATGCTTCAGTCTTCACTGGTAATATTCTTCACACATCCCTCTAACAGAAGGTGGGGACTGGAGAAGCAATCTCCCTCCCATTGCAAGTGAAGGTCGAGTTCACAACCACCCGAGAAACCTGAACGTCCTATGGGTCCCAAGAGATGCATCCTAGAGTGCAGAGGGAATTGGCTGATGCAGTGACCAAGCCATTCACAATTACATTTGGAACGTCTTGGCAGTCAGGTGGTCTCTGGTGAATGAGGAAAAGGCAAAGCTGTACCCATTTTTAAGTGGAATGGAAAGAAGGACCCAGGGAACTACTGGCCTATCAGCCTCACCTCCATGCTGGGGAAATCATGGAACAGGTCCTCCTGGAAGCTGTGCTAAGGTGAGTGGAAACAGGTGATACAGGAGAACCAGGCTGGCTTTACCAAAGGCAACTCCTGCCTGATCATTCTTGTTGGTTTTTATGATGACGTAGTTGTGTGAACAGGGGAACAGACACTGATGTCATCTACCTGGACTTCAGTAAGGCCTTAGACATGGTTCCCTATAACATTCTTCTCTCCAGATTGGAAAAATATAGTTTTGACAAGTGGACTGCTCAGTGGATGAGGAACTGGTTATGAGATCGTACCCAGAGAGTGGTGGTCAATGGCTCAATGTCTGGATGGAGATCAGTGATGAATGGTGTCCCTCAGGGGTCTGTAGTGGGGCTGATGCTCTTAACATCTTCATCAGTGACACTGATAGTGGGATCAAGTCACCCTCAGTAAGTTTGCAGATGACACCAAGCTGTGTGATGTGGTCAACATGCCTGAGGGACAGGATGCTATCCAGAGAGACCTAGACAGGCTTCAGCAGTGGGCTCAGGTGAACCTCATGATGTTCCACAATGTTAAGTGCAAGGTCTTGCACCTGGATCATCACAACCCCTAAAGTAGGAGATAAAAGTCAAGGGAGGTGATCCTGCCCCTCTGCTGTGTGCTGGTGAGACCTCACCTGAAGTACTGTGTCAAGGTGTGGAGTCCTCAGTACAGGATCTGTTGGAGCATGTCCAGAGGGGCACAAAAATGATGCAAGGGATGGAATACCTCCCCTGTGAGGACAGGCTGAGAGAGCTGGAGCTGCTCCATCTGGAGCAGAGAAGGCTCCTGGGAGATCTGAGAGTCACTACCTTTCAGTATCTAACGGGAGTCTATAGGAAAGAAGGAGACAGGGTCATTAGCAGGGTCTGTTGTGATAGCACATGAGGAAATGGTTTCAAACTAAAAGAGGGAAGATTTAGATTGCATATAAGGAGGATGTCTTTTTACAATAACAGTGGTGAGGCACTGGAACAGGTTGCCCAGAGAGGTGGTAGAAGCCCCATGCCTGGAGACATTCAAGGTCAGGCTGGATGGGGATCTGAGCAGTGTGATGCAGCTGTCCCTTTTCACTGCAGAGGAGTTGGAGTATAGGTGACCTTCAGATGTCCTTTCCAACTCAAACAATGCCATGGTTGTACGAACAGCACTCAGTTATGTTGTTGAGGTTGAATCTTGACCTTAAAACCCTGGCAGGGACCCAGACCATGAAATCCATGTGGGAAATTGGAGAGGGAATAAAGTAGCATGTCTATGCTTTTTGCAGAAGTAAACTGGTGACGAAGGCATGAGTTGGGATGGAAGCTCCTCAACATGGTGGAGACTGTCCCCAGCTGCTGCTGCTGCTGGAAATAGCTTGGGGTGAGTGTATGGGATAGGTCCATGTGATGCTGCTCTGCCACAAACAGCAATCCCTTTTATGTTTACCAGTGCTCTCTCTCAAAAGAAAACAGAAAAGCACAAACAATTTTGTTTAAAAAAAAAAAAAAAAAAAGTCCAGTGATAGGTTATGGTGGTAGGTTGTTTTTTTATGTGCTTTTCCTCTGGTGAATTTAAACCTTCATTTTCTCTCTGCCGAACAAAAGTGGCAGGTCTAAGGAGTATTAGGTAATTGTGGTTGTCAGATTGCACATAGTGTTGGCGAAATATTAATTGCTGTGTTTTTGCCCAAGGCTTTATGCAGCAGCCCCTTCATTTACCTGGGAGCAGGTCATTTCCCTCCCGTTCCAGACTGTGTACTGTTGAGCAGCATGAAAGGATTCCTGTACGGCTGCACTGTGTGTGTAGGCGGGCATCTCATTCAGTAATAATTTCTAATTTATACAGCCATGAAAATCTGCTGCTATAAATAAACAGTTCTGACTGACTTTGCATGCTTACTCAAAACAAAACGTGTGAGAAAGAGGCTGAAAGAAAAATCTAGTGTAAATGTCATAAAGACCAGTGTTCCTCAGAGAAGCCTATCATAGAATCATAGAAGGGCCTGGGTTGAAAAGGACCACAATGATCATCTAGTTCCAACCCCCCTGCTGTGTGCAGGGTCACCAACCAGCAGACCAGGCTGCCCAGAGCCCTTCTGAAATCGTAGGGAAAATGTTTGTGATCAACAATGTACAGTTTTTCCCATATGCAGCTTCGTGTGTGCATTAGAGAGAAAGGAGCAAAGCAAAGCTGAGATCCTGCGGTTCGTGTTCTTGAGACAATCATTGCTGATCTTCCTCTCAAAGCACATAACCCAGACCCAGCCTCTCCCTCCTCCAGGCAGCATGCAGAACATGGCAGAGCAGAGCCTTCCTCGAGTCCTCACTAAAGCAAGTAATGAATGCAAGCGATCCTCCTCACACTTTTGCAGTCCAGCAGGAAGGTCCTCAGCCTTAAAAGCCACAGCAGGAGCCCAGTCTGCCCTTCAGATCCTCTAGCTGGTAGGTGGGGAAAGAATAGTCCCATTGTCAGGGCCCAGGCTTTGTATTGAGCTTCCAACATTTAAAATGCTTGCATTAGGTTATCAGTAAAAAAATAAACACGAAACAAACAAAAAAAAACCAAATAGCCATATAAGGAGTAGCCTGAACTCTCTCCTCTTCCCTAACTCACTGCATGGCTTTCTTCTGTCTGCCTCTCAGAAATAGTTCCTCTGACCAGCATCTTTTAGCTGAACCCTTTCCTCTCTCTCCTTCAGCAGAAAAACTGTGTATACATGTGCACATGTATCTCATGCATATAGTCCGTTTGCAGCCTAGTTCTAGCATGTAAACTACCCAGTCTAGAACTTAGTCAGGTGCTTAACACCTGAGAAAAACAAATGTACATAAACATAATTTCTTATTGCTCACAGGCAGCTTACAACGTGTTTTGTTTTTCTTAAGCTACAGCAGCACGAAAAAGATGAGAATAAGACCCCAGTGAACTGCGTGTGCAGTAACTGTGAGCTATGGGTTTGGGCAATGAAAGCAGAAGCATTGCAGCTGGTTTCAAATCCTCATTGAAACACAATGCTAATAACAGAGATCCCTCCCGTTCACGTTGACCATGAAGGAGTGCTTACACCACTGCCAGTTTTGTCTGTTTATTGGAGTTTACAAAGCACATCTCCAGTGTTATAGATGTTAACAAGATGTTGGGGCTAATAACAGAAATCAACTATATTGAGCGAGTTTAGTAAACATGTGAATGGGGTGTAATTATATGGCAGGCAGCTTTATGTTAAACAGTGCTTTAAATTAACGTGCTTTCTGTCAAAGCAATCATACAGTCGGTATGATTAGGTTACTTTTGCTACAAGATTAACTGAAACCAAGAAAAAGGAAAAAAAGTTGCGTTCAGATTTCATATTAATGTGGAAGGGGGGATATTTTGCACGTTAATATTCCCGAATGTTTCTCATTAGAAGAATTTGGCTTTGTGGTGAACTTTCTGAGCAAACATTCCTAATTGCAGTCCTTGTTAGCCCAATTTGTTATCTATCTAGCTTGGAAGTCGCAGCAGTGTTAAAATTATCCCTCGTCTTAATTTCTTCCAGACTTGATGAAAGGCAATCCAAACAAGAGCTGGCTTGCATGCGCAGGTCCTTCACGGTGTGGTGCCAACTTGTGAGGGAGTTCATTTACCAGTGACAAGTTTTAACCGTGGACACATCCCGATGTACGTTGTGCAAGAGACGAGAAATCTGTGTAAACAGATGAACGCGATTTTCTGATTCATAGCAGTTGCGGAGTTATCATGTAAGAGGCAAACGTTTCACATTTTCCACCAGTTTTCCATATGTCTGATGACATAATGGCTTCACCAGAAGCTGCAACGCATTGGAGAAAGGATTTATCACAGCTGCATTTATTTTCCTCTACTTCATGGCTTCAGCATTCATGGAGAGATTGTTTGGCTTCAAGAGGAGCGTTCACTTGCCTTTCCGTTTGTAGTCAAGTATTACTATTGAATCTCCTGTTCCAAGGCAGAGGAAAAAAGAATGTTTAAAAAAAAAAGGTAGAACAGAGTGAGAAGTCCTCAGATAAATTCAGGCATGCTGCTGGGAGGTGGCTGTGAACTTGTCCCCAGCCTGCCAGCAGGAACTGAGCTCGGTGGGGATTAGGAGCAAAATGCCTTAGACCAGCTGCCTACAGGAGTCAAAGGAGCTTGGGATGTCCCTGGCAAGTAAGGGATTACTCAGTTTCTGCAAGAGGGACTTACAATCTGCCAAGGACCACATCCTTGGTTGGGAATAGTGGTGCTTCACTAGTGGAAAAAAGCATCTGCCACTGAGCAGCCTTGTTTGCTGTAACAACATGTGAGAAGCTTTCAAAATAAAGCACCTCTGAAAAGGCAGCAGATATGAATCCAAGCAGCTGGGATATCTGTAGGATGGCACAGGACTTACTGCTGAACCACAGCTTTTTGAGAGCATCTGTACTGCTATGGGCACCTAGCATGGCAGTAACCAAGTATGTTGGGGTACCTTTATTTAGCGCTGTCGCAGCCCCTGTTCCTCTGTGCTGATGATCACTTACAGGGAGCCCTTTTTAAAGGTGCTGTATTTGTCTGCAGTCCTCAAAGGGCCTGAAACACTGTAATTGCTGGGTTGTATTTATCTCCAGCCTGCGCAGCATGTGGTGATTGACCTGATAAGTAACAAAGTCCTGGCACTTCTTCCTTCCTAAATGGTCCTGTGAGCATTTAGTGCTGACCAGTACAAAGACTGCAGGGAGTAACAGATCAGCCTATGGGGCCAGAGACAGCATATTAGCAAACACCTGTTTGCATTTGCCCTGCAGTGATGAAATTGTAAGCCCCGGGTCGCCTGAGCTTCCGCCTGTGTGTCCCTCTCTCCCCTGCAGATCATCAGATAAACCTGTCAGCACCACCAGGGCTTGTGACAGATGGTGTGGGTTCCCTTTAAACAGCTGAACTCCTGTACCAAGGGGTAATCTGCAGCTCGGGGGAGTGGCAAGTATGACGGATATAAATATGCCATCACGAGCCTGTGGCATAACTAGGATGAATGAATGAGGCAAAAGTGGGTATTTGTACGTGGCTTACAAACTCGGGCCTGTTAAACCCTCTTACAGGTGAGTCCCATTCGTCAATGCAGACAAAAACGTTATTCGTTCACTGAAATAAATGGATATACCTTGGACTGTTACTCTCCGGTCCTAAAGGCTCAATAGAACAAATGCTCTTGATAGAACAAATGAAGATATATTCTGGAAAAGAGGCTCTGTTTAAAAATCCCTGCTGGACCCTACAGAAACAAGAGGACTGTCAAAATGAAGGGTCGGTTCTGTCTCTATGCTGACAATTACCTGCAGAGCATCAGCATTTTAGGGTTCGTAATAAAGCTGCTGTTTGTGAGCCAGCACAATGGTAGGATGACTTCTCAACCCACACAGCTTTGCTTTGTACCCCTTCGTTTGCCACTTGGCTTTCTGCAATCTCAACTCAGTAGCTGCTCAGGAGGTGTCAAGACTTCAATTGTAGGGAGGTATTACTTTGTATTGTGCAGGTTCCTCTGCCACCACACAGGCTGTGTATCCCAATAGCTGAGCACTCTGTATTCAGGGAGCTTGGCTTCACAAGTACATAAGAACAAAAATAAAAGCCAGGGAAAACAACCCAGCTCCTAAAACAAGTTATATGGTTCTGTAAAATACATTTTGCACAGAGGTGCTTCAAAAAGAAGAGGGAAAATATGTTAACGAGAAGATTGCCCTCTAATTTTAGCTTAGCCTTAGGTGAATATATTTCAGCTAAGGCTTTCCAAAGCACTCAGGAGCTCCTACAGGTTCTGCAAGCGCACATTCATCTACGCCTGAGGCTGTTGCTAGTTGCTCACCTATTGCTCCTGTTCACCTGCACTTCACAACATGAAAATGAAACAGCTGCTGAACATTTTATCAGACCTGCTAGACAAAAGGCAAATGAATCCTCTGCATCTTCAAACGCTGGTGCCAGAGACCTCATCTGAAATGTTGCTTTGTCTGCAATGGAGAACTTTGATCCTGAGGATCTGTTTGTCTCAGCTGGAGCAAAACCTGAGGGAAGCTTGCTTAGCTTTTGCTGTTCAGGGTTCTAGTTTTGCAGATCAAAGTTGCCTGCACGATGTTTCCTACCCGTCAGGAACGAGAGAAGCTATCACACAGTTCATCTTTGGCACCCTGACCCTGCAGCCAAATTCTTGGGCTGAGGTAAATGTATGGCAATGAAAGAATCAGCCCATTGTTTCCAGTTATCCTCTTTGGAGTTTCTGTATTACTCAACATTGTCTAGTACTCCAGAAACTCTGGGATTTACAACAAACAAAAAAAAAGTCATTACTTGGTACTATTTTCTGTGCCTCTCGGCCTGTGCAGCTGGGTTGCCTTAGTTACCATGAATCCAACTGTGCGACTGGAGGGAAAGGCAAGTGAGAAATAATACATTTTTAAAGCCTCTAATACTATATGAGGCAGTTTGTCTATAAATAATAAAACAAATTTAGGATCTGGCATCTTTGGGCTGTTCTGAAAAGGAAAAAAACAAGGTTATGTTATTAAACAGCCTGCATTTTTAGCTCGCAGAAATGATGCTGCATCTCTCTGGTGGAGCACAGGACATAGCTTTGAAATGACATGCCCTAAGCTGAAAGTCACTATCCTTGGACTTTGGAATAATTTGGAGCTAAATATACCTTTATGGGTGGAAAAAACAGTAAACATTTACATAGCTGATGCTCTTTTGTTTTGGCAGAAGTGGTGGTGGCCTGAAGCTACAGAGGAACGTGGCAGAATCCTTATGGAGCACAGTGCTGTGGGACAAGCTTCATTTGCTGCCTACAATTCTCCCCAGGATGCGAGTGCTCCAGGAAGCCAGGTGTGATGCTCTCACTGAGCTATTTGCTAATCACTTCTTGCCTCTTCAAATAAGCACAGCTTATCTCCATTGCTCTAGGCAGAGTCTCAGCCAGCAGCAGCCCAGGCAGGTTTTGTCCTTTCCCACTGCAAATTGCTTTGCTTTGTTGGTTTGGGTTTTGGGTTTTTTTTGGTTTTGTTTCATGTGTGTGTATGTTTCTTTCCACCCACTTATTTTAACTGTATCATCTCTTAACTGTGATGAGAAGGTGAGATGGGAAGGGGTAGGATGGAAAAAAAAAAAAGTACGTGGAGGCATTTTTTCTGCAAGAAGAAAGGTGTGTTGGAATTGTATCTTCATTCTATTTGCAGCTGTTTTTACTCTGGCAGTGCTGAGCAGATTTGTTTCAGTCAGGAATACATTAAGACTCTGGCACACTGTAATTTGGAATACCTTCCCTCTGGCTGTGTTTCAACACTATTGGGATCTTGTTATCAATACCAGCTTAAGGAAGTCCTGCCTTTCTCTTGGGTGGACACAGCCGGGAAATGGATCGGCAAAATTATCTGCGTTAAAAACAAACCCCTGCTCACAAGAAACAGGCATGTGTGGTGGAGTAGGAAGGAGTTGGAGGTGGTGGGCAGGAGCTCATCGAGATGTTATTGCTCCCAAAGCCCCCGTGTAATCATACCGCAGGCTCAGATACCACAGAGGGACCAGCTATTGGGGTGTAGCTTGCAGCTTATTGTATCAGTGTGCTGTAAATCTAGGTAATGCCATCAGTCCTGGAGGTAAGCAGCTGAGGATGCATTTAAAGAAGTAAGGAGAAAGTGAAAAATATAAATGGAGAGACAGATCCAGCACATGGAGAGGGCCTTCATGGAGTATGAGGGCACGTCAGACATAAACAGAGAATTATCACGTATGCTGCACACATATATATGATCTGCAGTTACATTAGCACACACTGTAGACCTGAAATTGTTACTACCTATTCATTGTGAAAAAAAATCTGAGTCTTAACTAATACAAAACCTGATATCTAACACGAGACCTAAGCTGTCTTGTGGTGGTTGTGTCGTGGTCTTTGATTAAATGGAGAGGTCAGAAATTACTCATAGTAATGGTTGCTATTTATGCGGTGCCTCTTTAACTAGAGCTAGTGCAGAGTGCCTGCAGATCTGTTTTCAGTTACTCAGAATCCTCATCATACATCATATTTATGCAAGAATAAAATTCATCCAAAATTTCCAAACTTGGTATGTAGAGCAAGTGTCTTGTTTGCAAAGGTATGAACCACTGAACTTGGTTATTCAGCACATTTGAAATTCAATCTGCTGCTCTGAGGTAGCTGGGTACGGCTGGTGAGAGACTAGCTACAGACACTCCACTTTGGCTTGACAGGCATGTGAGACTTCACAAAATGGATCAGGCATCAAATGCTCCCTGAGAACAGAGGGAGGTTGTCTTATTTACTTTCAGAGGTGTTTCTGCAGGGCTTTTTCTTTCATCAGAAATCTAGTTTAAGAAATTGCAAATGTTCACACATTTGTCCTAAATAAAATACACACGTTTTCTTGACAGAAACGCTTTCATCCTCAAAAACTTAATCTTGAATGAAAAAGGAAAGAGGCAACCAGAAGGGAAAATAATTAATAATAATAAAGTCCCACACCAGACTCTCAAGCTTCATCAGTTCTCTTTGCTCCTCCAGTGTTGTCCTTCTAAGAGACATCGTTTTTCCTAACTGCTCATTTATCCAAGTAAGGTTGACTTTCATTTTCTTTAAAGCATTACTGGTCATGCCACTACTGAAGCCAAAGGGAGATGTTTCAACAGCCCATTAAAACTTCCCAAAGTGCTGCTGCATTCACAAAGCTTTCTCTTGGCTAGACTAATGCCTTCCTATAAATTGTTAGTAAACCATTCCTGAGTCTGATAAATACCATACGGCATAGGTAAGAGGGTTTTAGGCTGAGCTATTTTGCTTCTCCAAACCACCGTTTGAGAAGGAATTCAAAATACAGTGATCATGCTGGTGGGAGACTCTTCTCAAGCCACATTGGAGAAAACTGGCCCAGACCTTTCTTTTTGTTTGGCAGAGTTGGCAGCCTTCTCGTCTGTCCTGTTTGTTACTAAATTCCTAGGACCTGGCAATCTCTATCCAAAAGTCACCCCCTGCCCCACTGTATGTGTGTCCTTCTCCCCACCTGCCTTGGTGATCATAGGAATTCCTTTTATTTTTTCTAATACGGATAGAAATAAATAAAAAAATTGGACTGACCCCATATCATACGGTTTAGGAACTCTCCAAAATTGTAGAAACAGACGACGATGGCAAGGCTACTGATGAAAAAGGCTCCTAGCCCAGCTGGGCTGAATGAAGCAAAGAGAGGGTACACCCACTCTCCTGTTACAAAATAAATCCATAGGACCCTGGGTGAGAGGAAAAACAACATTTGGTTAGGGCTATTCCGTGAGAAGATTCATTTGTTGATTTCTGGCTTCTAAAGGGCCATGTTATCAAAACAGTATTGATACAGAGAAGATTAGCTCAGCTGTTGATGCATCTCCTCAATATTTGGGCTATTTGCTGTGTAGCACACTTGAATCATTGCTAAATTAGATGGATTTTGGTGCAGCTTGAAATACACACGGTGTTCTGCTGTCACCTTGGTGGCATTGGCTATTAAAACAGTAAAACAGCAGTAAAATAGTAAAATGCTCAGAAATACAGGTGTGCACTTCAGTATAGAAGTGAGGCTTGTTCAAATAAGCTCCTAATAGGTTTTTGCTCTTTATTTACTGATTTTTCAGTCCCTATCCAGAATCCAAGGGTCTGTGGTAACAGAGGTGCTGTTTCTCATTCTTTCTATCCTGCTGGTGTTGAATGCTTTAGAAAGTAAGAAGAGATTTCAGGAGATGACAGGGCATGGACTATTCTCTTAAGTCCAAAATTAGGAGAGGAGAAACAAGTGGGTAGGAAAGAGATGTACTCGCTTTGCTCTCTTGTTCCAGGACCAATTGCTAGGTACTGGTTTGGAAGAAGGAAAGAATGAAAAAGAAGAGAATGACTGTCTGAAGTAGGCCCTCTCTTTCTGCCTTTTTCTTCTCTTAAGATGAGACCTGTGGCTGCTGCTAGTTCACTAATACTATTTCTTCCATTACTTAGAGCTCGTAAGACTGGATGGAAGCAAGTGCCTAGATTTAAGAACATAAAAATGGTGTCTAGATATATATTTGAATGGAATATGTAAAGAATATAAAATATATGGCAGATCTCCAGTGATTTCTGTGAGGCTGTGCCCTTATAGCATAGGGCTGAACTTACCTAAAATGGTCACCTGGGACGAAAGAATCCTAAAAAGATTTAATTATTGACTGGAGAATACACCTGTTGAGTACTTCCCACTACCAGTGCTGACATGGGAACACCATGGCACTCTCTAAAGGTGCCCTGCCTTGCATCATGCCTCAGGGAGAGAAGTGGAAACCGGTTGTCCCACCAGCATGTCACAGAACTAAGCCTTTAAAGAGTGCTGAGGAATAAAACGTGGCTGAAAGGATGGCTTCTTGTTTCTACAAGAAGAAAAGGAAGAGGTAGATTGGAGAGATGTTAGGGTTAGTGACAGAGCTGTCTTTGCATGAAGATGTGAAGCGTGCAGATTCATTTGCCCAGAGAGATGGTGGATGTCCCATTCCTGGAGGCATTCAAGGTCAGGCTGGACAGGGCTCTGAGCAACCTGATGCCCCTGTTGAATGAAGGAGAGTTGGACTAGATGATCTTTAAGGATCCTTTCCAACTCAAATGATTCTATGATTCTATGGTTTTCCAGGTTCAAGAGAGGTTCTCTCATCCAACAACCTGGGCTGCAGTACAGCCATAAAGAGAAAAAGGCCTGTGCAAAGGCCAGGGAAAGATGAGTAGGAATGTCAAAGACCAGGTGCTAACTGAAGCCTGTGCAGTACAGATATCCATATGCATTCTTCACTGTACTGGGGCTGCTGTTTTCTTAATACATCTCAAACAGTAAAACAGAGTGAAAAAGTGCCTTTATATATTGAGGAACTAGATTATCTTGATCTAATTTAGCTGGCTGGAGTGCCTGATAGGAAGCATTTCCACTGGAAATTTCGAACTTAAAAGATGACTCGACTGTTCAGAAGCACTAAAGCTCTTTCAGTTTCCTGACCTGATGGAAGCTGTGTGTAGCTACGGTTTTATCTTGGGACATACATTCAGGGTCATGAGTTTATTCATTTTGACTACAGAATGGTTGACAGATTTTTATTTTATTTTATTTTATTTTGCTAGGGATTTCATAAAATGCAACCCAACAACTTGCAAATGCACGTTGCCTCTTTCTTGTGGGCAATCAGCTGTTAAACATACATGCAGCGTTCAGAAGTTGATTATTCTGAACATTTGGTTACACCAAATTTCAATGTTTAGCAAGCTTTTACAGTGAGAATTTAGAACTATACAATGCCCAGAATTATGGAGGACATAGACTGAGAAAACCCAATATAACTGGGTATAACCAAAGCTGCCACACTGCTGTGAGACTGAGGACAACATTTAGATAGTGAAGGAAAGTGATGCGCAGCAGCCTGAGAAGGCAGTTTGATGCTTTTGTTATCTGACCATTAAAGTCAATGGGAGCTCTGCATTCACTGGAGGAAAAATAAAAATGTTTCCCTAGGAAATTGTTGAATGGGAAGATCCAGAAAGGAGGAGAACATATTGGCTACATATGAGTTTTCTGAGGTGGTGGTTAATGCAAAATTAAAAGGTTATGAACTGAAAATGAGCATACAGTAAAAGAAAAACATTTTGATTCATAACAGAGATGAAATATGGGCATATTTTAAGAAAGCCATCAGTTTCTAGATTTTTTTTTTTTTTTTTGTAGTTTAGGTCTTTATAGATGGTGTGCAATCTGTGATGATTTATATTCCCTTACATTGGTGGTTTGATCTTTTCTCCAAAAACACGTGCACAGTTGTGAGGAGTAAGATTTATTTTATCCTGATCTTTATTGCTAAATTGATATTGCCACTGAAATGGGAAAGAGCTTGCTATTGTTACCTCCTTTCCAAGATTTAGAATGACAGTTCTGAAATTTATATATTCTTCACAGCTTTCAGTGTGATGACTCCAAGAATAAGGCAGGAGATGCAAGATCCATCCATGCAAGAATTAACATACCGAGCAGTTTTCTTTGCCGTGATGACCTATACTGGAAGCTGCCTTTTCTCTTTAATCCTATGGGTATTCAAAGCTATCAGAGGCAAGTATCTGGTGCAAAAAGTCACAAACTGCTTGATTTCTCACTGCCTTGGAGGGACCTGGCAGCACTCAGCCCATCGACACTAGAGGATGGACAGTGTGATGACAACAGTGACAACTCAAAAAAAGGCTTTAAGGGAGCACTCTGTGTTGCTTGTGAAACATAAGGCACCCAAATGGGGCTATTTAATCAGCAGGTTGCAGCTCCAACAGTAAAATATGTGCACATGTTAAGTACACAGACTGAAAACCTCTTCTGTTAGTTGGAAGCTTTTGTCTCTGGCTTCAGGAGCAAGGAAGGCAGATGGGAGATTCCTCATTGTTTCAGAAGGAGAGAAAGCAACAGCACTGTACTCCCAAGAAGCCCAGATCCAGGTACCAGGGCCCTGGGCCACAGGGGACAAGCACAACAAGGAGCCCAGAGGCATGCAAGGCCAATTCAGAGAAGATACGAGAAGGACTGAAACAAGCAGTCTGATCAATTTCTGACTGAACAGGATCTGTGAAAGCTTGCCCCCACCGTTATCATTCCCTGGCTGGAAATAGGGGGCAGGAGAGGTTGTCCTATGGGCATGGCACACAGCAGTTTGCTTCTGCATCCACCTGTGCCCTACAAGGCTGAGACAGAGCACTTGCTGGGGAGCCAGGGGAGGTGGTAGTCCTGTGTGCTTCGGGCTTCCTCATGGGCATCGGGTGGGACTGACTGGAAAGGACTTGGCAGGGAAACGCGTCTCTCACAGCTATAATAGTATTAGGCTGTGGGCCGGATTAGGATAAATGGCTCCAAACTGGGTTGCATAACATAGAACTAAAGTCTGCTGCTTCCAAAGCCGTTCCTATGGGTCTCACATCACGGGAGTGTTTCATCTGGGCCGCTTCTTTTCTGTTCCTGTATTTCAAACAGTGGGCTGAGGTTACTCTCATCTGATGGGTGGATGGAAGTGGGAAGGCTGGATCCCTGCGTGGTTCCAGCTGCTTCTCAGAAAACACTGGGTGAGCGTACCCTGAAACTATGCAGATGTACTCCAGAGCTGAGTCTCAGAGTGATCTGAAATGCTAGTAGCTGCCCATAACCTGGATGCTATGAGCAGGAAAGGATGCAAACACAGCTCCAGGGGTGTGCAGCACATAGAGGAAGTGGGTGGAGGGCTGTGGACAGGATCCTCTCAGACAGGGTGGTGATAAAATTGGGCACATTGCTGGCAATCTAGGCGGTGTCCACCAGTGCAGATGGAGGTGGTAGTGGGATGTATGCCTCCTCAGTACCCATCACTTCCCACCTGCCTCTGAATATCACTTTCTAACTTTCTAAATCCAGCGTCATGCCCCTGTGAGATATAAAACTGAGTTCTGCTCCTTTCCTGCTCCCCTGGCTCCTGGACTTTGAGAGTTGATGTTTCTCATAATGTAGGGTCTTCTTTTAAGAGGCTATGAAAGAGCAGGGGATACCAGGTGTGGCCTCAGCAGCTGTACTTAGAAGAAACCCACTCTGCCTGCGTCTGGAAATGATCTTCATGAGCCTCACCTGGTGTTTAAATGGCTTATCTACAGACCAGATTGTTGTCTGAGAGGGAACTTAGCGTATGTGTAGAGTGTGGCCTTGCTGTACAAAGCAGATCACTTGAAGTATGTGTTCTGAAGTACATGGTTCTTACCAACTGACATAAAGAAAAGAGGCACAGCCTAACAGGAACAGTCCCTTCTTCTTTGCTGGGTAGCGATGCGGTGTGGCAAGGATTTCCAGAAGAGCAAGTGGTAACACAGCTGTGTGCTGCAGAGAAAAAAAGAGTGTGTCACAGAATGGTTGCAGCGCTGCTCACAAAGCTCAAGAGCTGGCATGTGGGCAAAGGGTATGGTTCGACAGGAGAAAACTATTGCAAAGTCATTGGTAGTTGATGGGAGAAGGTAAGCAGGATAGCAGAGAAAGATGCACAGATTTAAAAACTAGAGGGAAAAAAAAAAAAGAAAAACACTGAACTAGTAATTTTTTGTTTCCCCTGTGAAGTCACAATCTGCTGGATGCATAGCATGATGTTTCCTCTTGTCCAAAGGAAGTGATTCTATTTCTTTCAATGTTTATGTTTGTCAGAAACTGTGCTGAGTATAAGGTATGGTAGTATGGTATCAAAATGTATTGCTGTATGTAGTATGAGATACCACAAAAACGCATGAAATTCTTTAGATGCACTTTGATCTCTAAATGCACACGTGTACAGCATGGATGAAAATGCTTTTTATCTATTTCTTTCAGAGGCAGACAGCCATTTTTGTCTGTCGCTGCCAAATAACAGCTGACTGTACATACTCCCTCAAGACCCCCAGTGCACCCCCAGGAGTTGCTATTCATACCTGGCTGTCACACTACCGAAACAACCCATCTGTCTCAGTTAGTATATTTTCTCTCAGAGAAAACAGAGAGAAAATATTTACTCGATGTTCCGGTTTCTCTCACTTATTGGCACAATATTTTCTTCTGTTCTGCTTCTCAAAGATGTTCTTCAGCTCTATGACCCTGATAGTTGATATACAAACGATTCCCTCACTAATTTAACCAGAAAAGTGCCTCCAGTGCATACACTCTCTTTCATATATGGTCCCTGTAACTGTCTGTCACTCCAAAATCTATGCATTGTACCACCATCATAATGGTAATTAGGTTTGGGGTTTTTTTTTCTATGAGTGGGCAACTGTTTGTCGTCAAGCAAAAATGAGATGCCCATGGAAGACAGCTATGGTAGAAAACTTCTTCATCCTCACAATTAGGTGTTAGCCATTCACAGTGGATTTGTCCATTTTGCAAAGTGGATATAAATTCTGGTTTTCATCTGATGTGCAACAGCCTACAAAATTCCTTTGGGTAACAAGAAATGTCCTTGCTAGTCCTTTAATTAATTTAAACCCTTTTAACAGCTTTAAGCTGGTTGTTCCTGCTTGTATTTTTGCTGTACTGAGAAGAATTTAGTATTAGTGACCTGGTGAAATAATCCTTCGTTAAGGCGAACAGTTTTCAGGTAAGGGTTATTTTATATACTTATTTCCTCAGTTTGGGGCTTTTTGTTCTCAGAGTGAACACTAAATAAGCACAATTCACCAGCATGATGCTCCTTTAATAGAGAAAGTATATGATGCTCTGGGGCAGTATTAACAGGAATGTTGTGTGTAAGAGCTGGGAAGTTACTGTTCTACTCTACTTGACACACATGAGATTTTGGCTTGCATTCTACCTCTCATCAAGGACACCCCATTTTGACAGGAGCAAATAATTTGGAATACACCCAGAGAAAGAACAGCACAAATGACAAGAGAATGCATGAAAAATATTATTGAATCTTGAGAGAAAAGGAAAATGAGATTGACTTTTAAAGACTTAAGATGCTGATACGGTAATGACTGTGATGATTGCCTTCTCCATATCCATCACAAGTAGGACCAAGAGTGATAGGCTCAGTTTCCCTCAAGAGAGATTTGGCTTTATATTGGGAAACACCTCATAAGGACAAGCAGAGAAGCAAGGAGCTAGGGCAGCTGGGCAACCACTTCACAGAAGAAGCTAAGACAAAAGGTTGGGTGTATTTCTGCCATGCCTCAGTTTTCCTCTTACTTAATGATCTGAACCAGCTCACCAAGGGTTATCATGCAGACTCCAAAGATGATGCAAGAGCAAGCAGAAGCAGAGGATGAAAGCATGGAGAAACAGGGGGTCTCCTTTTCTGGTAAGAACACTGTCACAACTAAGACCACTGTGGCTCTGGGCAGCCTGGTGTAGTGGTTGGTGACTCTGCCTATGGCAGGGGGGTTGAAACCAGATGGTCATTATGGTCTTTTTCAACTCAGGTCATTCTATGATTCTATGATGATGACCACCAGCATCTCTACTTTCTTAACAATCCTCCGTCTCAATTCATGCATCTTTGTGCTCTGTTACAGTACGGAGATCCCACAGGAAAAGAGAAAGAGGAGAGAAAGGCACCTGATTTGCAATTTCACAATTTCTCTCTTCCATCAGATGATGGCTCAAGACATCCCTCTGCAGCACTTTGACCTCATCAGACAGCAGAGCAGTGCTCTCTGATACACTCACAGGGAGCAGCAAAGGCAAGCCCACTATGCTAACACACGTGTTGGCTCTGAAGAAGTTTAGGAAACCAGCAGTGGTTGTGAGAGACAGTTGGAAGCTCTCCTTTTTATTATATGTTGATTTAGAAAATCTGATCTGCTAGTCATTTCTTGTTGGGTCCTCCTCTGTTGGAGGAGATAGAGAAAATACTGAGGGGCCTGTAGATCAAAAAAAGTTTGAAAGTCTCTAGCAAAGCTGAAAATATGGGATGGAAATAAGAGTTTAGAGATAGGGACAAGTTCAGATTTCTGCTCTGCTTGATTTATAATGGCCTGAAGACAAGTTTCTTTCTCACTGGAAGAGTGCTGCCACCACCAAGAGCAGGAAAACTGTTTGGGAGTAGGGCTGCCTGCCTCTTGTTTTGTGAACAGTTTCTCTCAGCTCATGGATCTATCCTGATTCGGGAGAGGAAAAAGGAGAAAGAGAAAAAAGTAGGAAAAATAGAAAATGAAAAGAAAGTAATCTGTTGTAGTGTAGGAAGGCTTTTTCTCCTCCCAAGTTTAATAATGACACTTGTATAGAGTTTATTAATGCACGTGCTGTGTTTTCTATACAAATCATTGTAGATCTCTAAACATATTTTGCCATACATTAACCCAATTTTACATAGCAATGCATTTTCAGCTTATCCTAGCTAGAAGGTCACTGTGTATGTTAACTGGATGCTCTGTTAAGGGCCATTTATAATTGCCATGCAGATAGCTTCTCAAGACAGATAGTTCTCGGTTAGTTCATGCACATTCAGAATGATAGTGTTTAACCTTTTGGTTTTGGATATGAAGTTTCTCTTTTCTTTGCATGTACAACCTAGAAACCAATTGCTGGCTTGGAAAACGTGTGGTGAAATCTTTCCTTGTATCTCTACTATCCTAGAGTCTGCTGGTGACTTCATGTGTTTCTGCCAAGGCCAGTTTGTCCATGAGTGGTAAAATGATGGTAGAATTTCTGCTGAGTAACAGAGCATGTTTACAAGAGCAGATGAGTTCCTCACGACACATATTTATACAGCAGATACCAGAAGAAAGCTTAGCTTGCCACAGAATGCAGAGCCTGCCCTTTGCCTATGACACTCGGTTAGCTTTCCAGATGACTTCCCTCTCATAGCTGATAGACGCTGACTTTGGCAGCATCATTAGCGATAGGCCGTGTATCATAGCTAATCGTATCTGCTGAAAGGCTTTAAAGTCTTTTCACATCCTCCTCAAAAAAGATGTATTTTTTCCCTCTCATTATTTTTACCACTGGTTTCTAGTCCGCAGTTCATTAAGCAAACTTTCAACCCTGTTTAGGTATGCTTTGTCTAAAGAGAACAGCGTTTGTACAGGACCAAATTCAAAGACAAAGTTTTGCTTCTTTCTTTAAAGAAAACATAATAATTAAGCTCAGATTGACACAGATCAAAACATTGGCAAAAATTGCTGGAAACACTGACTCAGGTTTTTTTTTATTTCAATTAACAGTTTCTCAGTTTCCTGTATAAACAGTGAAAGTGTCAAAAATCATTATCTTGGAGAATAAACTATTTTACTGCAAGATATGGAAAACTGGGTGTAACAACAGTGGTGTGTACTGGTCTGCCTGTTGGTGAACTGAACTGAATCACAGACGTTTTTTCTCTTGGTAGGAAACCTGTTAGTACTTATTTTTCTGTTCTTTTAAGTATTAATTTACTTGTCTAACAACCTCTGTTTGTCGTGGAAAGCTCTTAGCTTACAAGTTTAGTAAGAATAGAAGCATTCTGAGTGGCAATTCTTTTATTTGTAGAGTGGGAAGAAGGATATGGGACTTTCAAAATCATCATTTTATTAACAAAAACGCTTGTTTTTCTGAAATTTTTTTCCACTCATTTGACTGAAAAGTCCTCCGTGGCTCTTTTTGTCACTTGGGGTATTCAGCTTGGATTTGCTTTCTTTGCTCTGACAAACTCAGGTGAATCGGACCTAATCATAAAATTGTACATTCTTCTTTTTGCTCATGAACTTTGGCATTTGACTACAGGGGAAAAGGTTTCTTAAACGTATGTTGAATTTTGTCTGAAATACTGGCACGCTATCTTGTCCCCTACAGAGAATGATGAAATTATAACATTTTCCTGTTTCCCTCTTCTTTTGTTTCCTGCCCTATGTTGTCAGTTGTTTCCTAGGATACATTTCAGGTTCACGAGTTTAAACTGAGATAAACAGTCCTTGCTGGATGTTATTTCCACTGTTGGGTAAGACCACATGGAATTTTCACTTCCAGTACATGTTATTTTGAGTAATTTGTGTTTGTTTATTCAACATTATATACTTGCTGTGCCCTTGAGAATATAAGTGAAAGCAAGTTTCCTAGGGCTAAGAAGACGGGGTTGGTTAGAGCTGTTGTTCAGCTGTAGGTTCCAGCTTTGCTGAGCTTTAAGGCCATGAATATTCTCCCCAGAGCTGCTGAGATCACTCACACGCCTAACGCGTGCATTTCAGTTTGACTCAGCTTGACCCTGTTTGACTCCACAGTCAAGGAAATGATGCCACGGCTGACCATAGCTGTTTGTTTCTCATTTGTCTGCATTTACATACCCTCTGTGTCTGCTTTTCATTAATATGTGAGACTTTAGCAGGGGATTTTCACAAACATTTACCACTGGCCAAACTAAATTTAATTGGGCTCAGTTGGACACCATTGAGTGCTTTTGAAAAAGTGCCCGTCTTTTTTTCAGATGAATTCCCAAGAGTGCTTGTGAGCTGAAAACCATTCATGGTAGATACCCGTGTTTGTGTCTTCTCATAATAAAACTAAATGGCTTCCTGTCACCATAGACACTGTTTAGTTTTATATACTCCTCATAACTTTCTGGATCCCGGCATGTCCTCTCCTTTCTTGGCTTCATCTTGAGATAAATTCCCTCTTTGGATTTATTTTGCTAAGATACTCTCTTCATTCAAATGCCTCCATTAAAATCTTATTTTGCAGTTTGTCTGCATACATTTTTAATTCTT